TTGAGCCTGGAGAAGAGAAGGCTGCGTGGAGACCTCATAGCAGCCTTCCAGTATCTGAAGGGGGCCTATAGGGATGCTGGGGATGGACTCTTCATTAGGGACTGTAGTGACAGGACAAGGGGTAATGGGTTAAAACTGAAACAGGGAAAGTTTTGATTGGATATAAGGAGGAAATTCTTTCCTGTTAGGGTGCTGAGGCACTGGAATAAGTTGTCCAGGGAGGTTGTGAGTGCTCCATCCCTGGCCGTGTTCAAGGCCAGGTTGGACGAGGCCTTGGGTGATATGGTTTAGAGCGAGGTGTCCCTGCCCATGGCAGGGGGTTGGAACTTGATGATCTTAAGGTCCTTTCTAACCCTAACCATTCTATGCTTCTATGATACCAAATTAGAACAAGTTGCTAGGGGAAAGTTTCCTTTTTCTCAGATCTGTGTGTCTGATTTGGGCAGAACCTTTCATTGTCCTTTTCAGCCGTCCTCCTTACTCTGCATTTACCGTCTGAGCCTCTTTATGCCACCAGCTTTCAAGCACAGCTGCAGGTCAGCAGTGAGCTAGAGCTGCCCCCCAAGGCAACTTACTACCTTTTGATATCTTCTGCTCTATCCTGGAACAGGTTTCCATGTGCTCAGTGCCATAACTAACTTCAGGAGCCCAGCTTTTCCCTGGAAACAGGAGAGCCAGTTTTCTGATGGCACAGTATGCCTGACAGCTTGTGCTGGCTGTTTGTGAGAGCAAATGACTTGGTTTGCATGCTTACACCTTCCAATGACTTAGTTGGCATGCTTCAACCTCCCTGGGGACACCCGTGGGGCAGGAAATATCACTTACAAGCTCTGCTGTCTCATATGAGAATATTGCTCATTTTGTTTTCTCTATAATTTTGACGGTTTAAAGCAAAACACAGCAACAGTGCAGGGCCGTGTCTGGTTCAGAGGAGCCAGACGATGTAACAGCACACATCATTCCCCCTCCAGCTCTCCAGCTCGTGTAGTTGCCTTGCGGTGAAGCATTTTGCAAGGAGAGATCATTCCCTCAACGTCTACTCATCTGCCCCTGCTGTGTGGGGATACCTGAAGTCTGCGAACAAGGAACCTGCTCAAGGAAAGCATGAAAAAGGAAAGGGATTTACAGCAAAATGACAGCAGAATTTCTTGGCCAGTTTCCGAGTCCTGGAGACCTGAGAGGATGAAGAACTGTTCCTGTCACCGACAACTTGATTTTCTTTTGCCTTGACAAGACCAAGTTGGAATGTTTATTTCATATAATGGCACCTGAGATAGAGTTGTGGGAAAAGGATATGGGTTTTTTTTCAGAAAAAGACTGAAGTTGGTGAAACATTTCAGAGACAAACCTGGGGGAAAGCAGAAGGTAAATAGAGAAGTAAGGGGTGAGAAATGAAATGAATGTTCGTATGGTTTTGCTGCAGGTTTTGCTGCCTCTGAAAGTATGTTACTGCCTTTAATACAACTCATTAAACAAGTAGGAAAATCAAGATCTGGGACTGTTAAACCTCAGTTAAAGGGTGTAGACTTGTTGAATTGAGTCCTGAGTAGGGCCGTGAGGGAGATGCTGCGAGGGCTGGAGCAGCTCTGCTCTGGAGCCAGGCTGAGAGAGCTGGGCTGGGGCAGCCTGGAGAAGAGAAGGCTCCTGAAGGGGAGACCTTAGAGCAGCTCCAGTGCCTAAAGGGGCTGCAGGAAACCTGGAGAGGGGCTTGGGACAAGGGCCTGTAGGGACAGGCCAAGGGGAATGGCTTGAACCTGCCCGAGGGGAGACTGAGCTGAGCTCTTAGGCAGAAGCTCTTCCCTGTGAGGGTGCTGAGGCGCTGGCACAGGGTGCCCAGAGAAGCTGTGGCTGCCCCATCCCTGGCAGTGTTCAAGGCCAGGTTGGACACAGGGGCTTGGAGCAAGCTGCTCCAGTGGAAGGGGTCCCTGCCTGTGGCAGGGCTTGGAGCTGGGTGGGTTTTAAGGTTCTTTCCAACACAAACCAGGCTGGGATTCTATGATAAAAGGCAGCTCTAAAAGAAACCGCTGCTGAGTCAAAGTTTTATTATGGCTTGTTCCAAAAGATGGAATAATACAAAGGAAGAAACCTCCACAGTAAACTGTTGGAAGCTGAAGAAAGAGTCCATTGTTTAACTTAAAAGGACAACATGAATTCTAGATGTCTGTTGAGTTATGCTCCACTTTGATGGGCTTCCTGGCTGACACTCAGGGTTTACATCTAAACTCAGCAGTCTGGGAGTTTTGTACTTGTTTTCTCTAAGACAAGCACACTGGTGGATTTGGGAAGAAACTGCAGAGCGACAGCAATAATAAGCACAGTACTAACAGACAAGTGCAGTGCTAAGAGACAAATGCGGTGAAGATGTTGAAGTTTAAGTGGAAGCACACATGTTAGCTTCCTTTCTCCAATTAGGTTATTTTAAAGGTAGTTGAAACCTGAGGCCTTGGAACTGAATGAAGAAATAGCCTCAAAGTAGCAATGTTCTTGCACATCATTTGATTTTTAAAGGGAAATAGGACCATTGCTGAGTGAAAGCTAGAGGTAGAAATGATTCGTTGGAGCAAAGCATGAATAAACCTCAGGGGTTTAAGCGCTACCTACTCTTTAACATATAAAACCTTACAATGGATCAGAGATTTATCTCCTATTTTGTAAGTGCTTAAATCTCCCTGTTTATCTAAATATTGAATAATGTTTTGTTACATGTCTTAAGAGGAGAACAGAGCTGAATTACTATAAATTCAGTCTTGGCTATCCTTGACAAAAGCATTGTTGAAATACTTTTATTTGTTCAGACATTATTTCTGTTCCTGTCTCTCATCAGGGAAATTGCCTCTGATTGGAAGTTGAGCCTTTGAAAGCGTTGCCCTCAGTAAATAAAACTGTAAGACTCTGTTGCCTTGGGCTGGTTTTAAAACAAAGCCTTTAAGAAACTTTTTTAGCCCAAGATGCCCCCAAGGTGGATGGTGTTGCCTGAACCTTTCCCTGGTTGCTGCCTGGCTACATCTATGTTACAGCCATCCCAAAATAATGACATCCTCAGGTTCCAGTCACCGCATCAGAGCCAGAAATGAAACGATCAGTTGTTCACACAAATATTTTCACAATTAAAATGTCATGTATAATGCCTTGAAAAGCGCTTTTGTGTCAATTCAGAAAGTGCTAAACTTCAGAGTCAGGCATTCAGGGTTAGGTTTTATAAGTCTCCAAATTCCTGACTGAGTGGTCCAGGGTGATGGGCTCCCGCTAAGACGGGCTAAATATAAAAACCAGTAACATTTAGCAAACTCCCATGGAGCTACCCAGTTTCCCAAGTACAATATAACCCAGGAGTCACAACGTATTTGCATGCTGCAGTGTATTACTAGAATAGGACTGCTTTAAGAGCACCATCTTCACTACATACCTTATATTTAGCTCTATTTTGCCTGCTTTTACAGCTAAACATTTTGCAACCTTGTTTTCTTGGGATCAGGTTGTTGTAGCTGTGCAGTTTTGCTGATTGAAAAGATGATTACGTTGAAGTCTCTTCTGATGATAATCATCTTTCATTTATTTAGGGCCATTCATCACAAAATGCTTCCCAAATTGGTAGACAAAGTTATGCACGTGGATTTCTTCACAATCCACAGAAATACAAGTACCTCTGGAGAGGCGTATGGCAGTTGTTTAACAGTGCACAGCATCAACAAACAACAGAAGGGAAGTGAAAAAACGGGGGTTTTGCTCAGTCTGCCAAGATATCTGATGCATATGGTGGCTGTTTAATGTAGAAATTATCTGGAATAGTCCCTGGTAATTCCCTACCCTGCACTAAGTTTTCATATTTTTCACTTAATTCGTTCACCAACAAAACTCACCCTACCGAAATTACACTGTTTGGTCGAAGGGATGGCAGAGCCAAAACAGAGAGTGCCTGAGGGTCTTATGAAGTTGTTGCCAATGTGGTGCTCCAGCAGCCTCTGCCCATCTCAGGGAAGATGTCTTTTGCCTAAAGCACAGTCCCAGCAGAGCAGTACTGCATCAGCTGAGAGTCTGTGACCTGGGAACACTCATTTGACTTAAATGAAAACATAATTAGCTTTGGAGGAATAAGATGGCCACATATTGTGCTTGGCTACAGTACACTACGCCTGTACCAAGAGCATGCTGTTGCATAAGCTTGGTCTTTGCCAAAAGAGCGGTTTTTACCCCAAACCACTTATGTTTCGGACTTTGCTTTCTCCCATGCTGGTAGAGGCAAGGAGGATTTTGGTAGGACTTTACCAGCCTTTGCGTTTCTCCTTCTAGCAGACATGAGGAAGTAGAGATTCTGGTCTTGGCAGGAACACGAGCATACCATCACAGATATTTAGCCTAAAGTTGATAAATAAGACAAACAAAGCAGGGGAAAAGATGAACACCTCATATTTTACTATGTTAATTTAGAGTGCAAGTATTAACAGCCAAAGCATTTTTTGGAGTAATAATCATATCCTTTCTTTTTTACTTTCTTTTTGGGGTATTTTTACGTTGGGGTTAGAAAAGAGGCAATCGTTTTTGTAAAACCCAAGCAGTCACAGAGCTCTATTTCCCCAAGTGCATTTCACTGGAAAATAAATTGCAGGAAGGTTGCTCAATAGCACCTGGCAGGTGGAGAGCGTGCCCGTGACCCTCTGCTCAGCACTGTCCCTGTGCCACAAAAGCAGCTGAGATATTCCTGTTACCCATGGAGGGGGCTCAGATGGATGCTGCCATCGCACCTCAGTTTGTCACTCTAACAAGAACATCTGGATGAGGGGAAAAACCAACAGAACAAGACTAGCTGCTCAAAGGGCTGTGATTCAGCATGCTTTCCATAGCCTGCTTTGGTGACAGATTTTCCCCAGCACATGTGGGATGACTTTTCCTGCACTGTTCAATAGTTTAAACACTGCCAGACAGGTGCTGTCTCAAGCAACACTCTTGACTTTGCTGGTTTACCTCTTACACCGTGCCTGATGCATTCTTTCTGCCAACAGGTCGTCATGGGGATGGTTCCTATTGGCCAGTGGACACCAACCTGATTGATCGGAGCAGTCTGAATGGTAAATGCAGGCTCCATCCAACCATGCTTAATAATTGAGTGCTGTTTTGGTGATAACCTTCTGCTTCTCTTTATCACTCTCTTGTTCCTCTCTCTTATGGCTTGGAAGCCACCTAACATGCCCACAGGTCACTCATTCACTTTTATAAGGGGAAGCTGTTGAAAATTCCACCCATGTGCAAAACACCTGCTGCAAACCAGAAATGCTAACAAAAAATAGGGTCAGAACACCACATATTCTGTTTTTGTTTTCTTAAAGCTGGTCCTCAAATTTCTCATCAGATTTTCAGCTGAGGCAGAACTCCCCAGAGTATGTCGCTGGGGATGAAAATCACATCGAAAGAGAAGTTTTAGGTATCCCTCATGCCGCAGAAACACCTTTGAAAAACTAATGCCTTGGAAATAATTGCAAAATGCATTTTACATCATTTTATTTCAATCTCTGGACTCATGAGACCTCACAGCACTGGGTGCACTTCTGGTGTTCTCAACATAACAGGGACATGGAGCTGTTGGAGCAAGTCCAGAGGAGGCCACAATGATGATCAGGGAACTGGAGCACCTCCGATATGGAGACAGGCTGAGAAAATTGGGGCTGTTCAACCTGGAGAAGAGAAGGCTGCATGGAGATCTGAGAGCAGCCTTCCAGTATCTGAAGGGGGCCTATAGGGATGCGGGGGAGGGACTCTTCATTAGGGACTGTAGTGATAGGACAGGGGGTAATGGGTTAAAACTGAAACAGGGGAAGTTCAGGTTAGATCTAAGGCAGAAGTTCTTTACTGTGAGGGTGGTGAGGCACTGGAATGGGTTGCCCAGAGGAGTTGTGCATGCCCCATCCCTGTCAGTGTTCAAGGCCAGGCTGGACAGAGCCTTAAGCAGCATGGTCTAGTGTGAGGTGTCCCTGCCGATAGCAGGGGGTTGGACCTGGATGATCTTAAGGTCTTTGCCAACTCTAACTATTCTATTATTTTATGATATAGGCTTTCTGCAGAAAATGCCTTTTTTATGAATATATCCTGTCCTAAAATAGGAAGATGTGACAGGAAATCCCAAGGATTGACAAAAATTACCTGAACATAATCAGTGACAGCTGGGATTCAGTTACGTATCAATAACTTCTTATTCCTGACCCCATCTTCGTTACCTAATGAAACATTGTCATCTCACATTATTGAATGGAACAACAGGCAAGATTCCCTCAAATGTGTTATCAAGTGAGGGTTGAAAGTACAAATTAATTACAAGGCACATAGCTGATTAACTCTGATTATTTTCCTCAGACAAGACAAGGAGGGAATGCAAAATTTTGTTACCTTTTCTGTCCTACTCTGCTGCAACCAACACACCACTGTTTTAAGCTTTTGTCCTGCTCTTCATAGTAGTTCATCATAAATACAGAAAAACAGACTTTTAAGAAGTAAAAAGAACTTCCAGGGCCTGCAATAAAGGGTAGAGAGAGTTGGTTTTTTGGTAGTCACTGTATTTCATGGGGTGTATTCTTTCAATGCCTCTTAGGATGGAGATGAAAAAGAAACCTAATCCCAAAATGTTCAGGATTCCTCTACTCAACCATTTTAATTCCAGAGGGATGACACTCGCAGCTGCTTCTTTTATTATTTGCCCGGAAAAAAAGCTATGTGAAAAGGGCAAATTATTTAAATAGAATAATTAGTGAAGTAAAGAAAGGATTATTAGGGCAGAAAATCAAGGCAGAATATTACAATTAAATTACATCTACTGCTAACTAAAACTGTTATTTTGAAAGTTTTCTCTTTTTTTCTGTTCCATTCAGTTGTAATAAAGGCCAGATGAGATCCCCGACAAGTATTGTTTCATTTATATACGAGAAGATGTGGGTTTGATGCCACGTGAAAACTCTTGAGTTACTTTTCTTATGAAATCTTTAGCAAGACCAACGCTTTCCATCCCATTGCACCAAACATTTAGTTTTTCTCCCAGCTGAAGTAGAAAGATACTTTGGGGTTTCTGAGTTTGTAATCTTACAGGATGCCTGCAAGATTGCCTTAGCAGGCAGAGCAAAAGCGTTACTCCCTGACTTGTGCACATGTCCATAACCAATGGTTCAATGATGTGTAATTAGAGGCATTATCCAACAAAATAGCCAAAGGGATTGGAACAGGTTGCCCAGAGGAGCTGTGGTTGCCCCATCCCTGGCAGTGTTCAAGACCAGGTTGGACACAGGGGCTTGGAGCAAGCTGCTCTAGAGGAAGGTGTCCCTGCCCATGGCAGGGGTTGGAATTGAATGAGCTTTAAGATCCCTTCCAATCTAAACCAGCTGGGGATTGTAAGATTTTAGAAGTATAAAGCATGCTATTCCCAATGCAATGGGGGGGATACTGTTGAAAACAAGGGCCCAGTTTGACTGGGACTTGACCTGGGAAATTAAGTTGTTTTCAGTCACTGCCTTGCTGCTGCATTGAAACTAAGAAGCTCATCACTTCTGAAGATCGAACCTGTAACCTGCTCAAGTGTTGCGCAGGGACCTGGCCACCATAGCAATCAACAATGCAATGTGATAAGGGATTGGCTGTGGGGTGAACATTGTACTGCCAAATGAATGAGACATTTAGATTGGCTGACACACAAGTTATGTCTTTGCCTGTAAATACCAAAAAAGACTATACAGGCTGTAAAGAAAAAAATCCATAGTCCCTATATTTCCATTTTCAGCTGGTAACAGCAAAAATGAGCTGAACGTTATTGACTCCCAACATCAGGTTATTAACATCCAGAAAATGTACAGTCGCTACTGCTTCAATATTTTCCTCTTTGCAGTACCACTGAAACAAAGAGACACATCAATTTCAGCCTTTATGATACCCTTCTGCTCCCTCCATTGGATTTTTCAGAGGAATTCATACCACCTGGCAGGCTTTATGTGTTTTATTTTATGGTGACCCCTAAAGAGGGAGTAGAGCAGATCCAGCATTAATCATGCCCTCGTTATCCATCTTCTTTCAGAGCCCCCCATCGGGCAGATGCACCCTCCCCACGGCAGCGTCACACCCCAGAAGAACAGCAACCTCCTCGTCATCATCGTCGTCACCGTCGGCGTCATCACTGTGGTGGTGGTGGTGGTAGTGGCCGTCATCTGCACCAGGCGCTCCTCAGCACAGCAGAGGAAGTACGTTCTCAAATCACGTAGTGGAAAGGGAAAGGCAGATGCTCGTGTTCAAAACAGATCTGGGCAACAGCATTTCTACAGTGGAGATGTGGGTTCTGGGACTGAACTCCATTTTGGGGCTCAGCCTTTTGGTTTTGGAGGTGTCACTTGTTGCTGGTAAGTGAAGAATATCCTGTCACCAGGCTGCAGAGTGAACCATGGGGAATAAGTACCCCTCATGTGGTGATCTGCCATGCCCAGCTCTCTGTTGATTTTATTGCCAGGTATAATTCAGACACGGGAAAGAATCAATTCCATTGATTTAAAGGGGAAAAAAGAGTAATTGTCTGTGCCTGGTGGTATGAGACTTCCTGACTCTGCAGGCCGCACACCTGCACAGCAGAGAAACACAGACAGTCCTGCTCACTTGCTTTGGGAGGATGTTGTCCTCTCCAGATAATCTGTCTCAGCAAGTCTTCCAGTAAAAAGCATTCAGAACTGTTTCTACAGATGACTGTCAAGCCCTCAAAACAGTCTATAGAAAATTGCAGGAAAAAAATCTTTAGGATTGCTCTGAAAGGCTATAAAAAGGCAGTAGTATAAAGCACAAAGCTTTTTTCAGGTTTCATAGAAATGAGGAGTCAGTGGGTTTGAAACAGCTGGTTTGATTGCATTGAAAATTATTATACTTTCATTTTTCTATTAATTCATTGATTATTAGACTATTATGAAAATTGGACATGAGAAACTGAAGTTTAATCCTAGTATGCCCACAAGAACGATAAATATTTGCATGAGCCAGACATCATTACACGGATTTGCACTGATGCTTAAAAACGGTTGGCACAGTGGAAGACAGGATGGTCAGGAAACTGAACAGCTCCCTGTTTGCCACAGTCAGCTTAGGCTGGTTGACTGTAGGCAGATGGCAGCTTGGATCATTCTACAGTCACTGAGGCAAGTGCTTTCTCTAAAGATAGATGGTTGGGGGTAGATTTTTTAAATAAGAAAGGTGTCATTTAGGCAGGAAAGTGAGGGTCTATGCTTTTAGAAGTGCTGGGGTAGTTGAATGATGGACTGATTTGAAAATCTGCTTCTATTGTGAGTCTTAGCACTTGAAAATCAGGCTGGCGTCTAACAGCAATGAAAATTCTTCTGCTGAATGGAGTTTGGTGAATCCAAGTTAGAGCTTTCTCCAGTTTCTAACAGAGAAAAGGCAACAGAAAGAGATTCATCTATACAGAATTAGAGGTCAAAAATTAAATGTCTAAGTTTGAGGTAGTAAACCTTGACCTCCTCTGTAGCCCCTGGGGAAGAATAGAAGCATTCAAAGAATCGTCCATCTTATCATAAGACACCAGAAGACTTGCCATTGTAAGATGCTTATTGATGTCCACTGATTAAAAATGTGTGAAGATGGTGTATTTGGATTTGCTGCATAAATTGTAAACCTCTATCCTGTAGGTGGGTAAATCTCCCCCAGGTTGCCTCAAACAAACCATTTCTGAATTGAAAGTGGAGAAAATAGTAGGGCAATAAATATTAAATAATGCATAAATAATGACAGATGCATACTGTGACGTGCAGGGTTTAGATCCCAGTTTTTATTGGCAGCAGGTGCTTAGTTCAGTCACCAATGAACTGTTGGACAAAAGGACTGCAGTGAGGGTAAAGGCCAAACCTCACTGGATAGTGCGTGTGTCCTTCCCCAGAGCAAAAACTTGCAGGTGACAGAACAATCTGCAAGTCTTCAGTGGAGGAAAGTCATGTTTCTTAAGTTAACTAAAACTTGACTGAACAAAGAACAGTAAAGCATATCATATAGAACAACCTGGTACTGACCTAGGTGGCTTACTAGGGATTTTCTGTCTCTACCATCTGGGGAAAACAAAACCCTGTGACAAAAGACAGGGGAGAAAAATGTATGCAAAGATTCAGGTGCAGTAAGTTACCAAGTTGTGCATAAAGAGAACGTATGGGTCCTGCAGTAATTGAGATCTATACCTTCACAGTAACTGCATCTTCCACAGCACAAGATGCTCAGTGCCCTGCACTAGCAGTGCCTGGGGTTGTGGTGACAGGGAGGATGGACAACGGGGCCACCCATCAGCTTCATCCTTCAGTTCAGAGTTTGGGCTTAGAGAAGATGAATCCCAGTTGAATCTTAAAACAAGGGAAAATATCACTCATACAGCATGCACCTGAAGTGCAGGACCTGCTTCTTACAGGGGTTGTTTTAAAGCTTCAGGGTATAATAAAGATTTGTACCATGCCAGAAGAATTAGCCTGTGGACTGGTAACATGAGGTCGTGACTACCACAGGAGATAAGCTGAGGGCAGGCATTTAGTTCAAGACTGGTAGGTAAATAGTGCGTATTTAAGCCATTAAAAAAGAAACATAGGCTTGAATATATCACCCAACCAACTAGTATGCTGGACAGGGGTGTGGTGTAAAAAGAGGCAGCAAAAAAACAATCTGAGGCTAGTTTAAGTCCTATATAAGTAATAGGGTTGTGTCGGTATACACTTAGGAAGGCTCAGGGGAGGCGTTAACGAAAGTGTGATCAAACTCGAATGAACTGGGAGTGAGTTGGCAGCCACTAAAGAGCTGCCATATTTCACTTCTAGAGGTGCTCCCGGGTTCCTGTGTACCCTTGTGCTGGGGTGCCTTGTTAAATTCATGCTAGGGGAGCTCATTAGCTCCATCCTGGGGTAGCTCATTAGCAGTGCCCTCTGCCCCATCTCTTGCAGGGTGGCATAAGGCAGGATCTGACCTCAGGGGAAAGGACCATGAAGCCAGATGATAGCAGAGGCCGGTACTTGTGTCAGCTTTATAGGGTGGTTGGCAGGAAGTAAAGAGGTCAAAATTAAGTATTTTTCCCTCTGTAAACACTGGGGAGATTTTCCAGGGAAAGAATTGTTTCGTATCCTTTGGTTGTCGTACAGGACCTCTGTATCAGTTGAATTTCCCTTAATACACCCCAAAAGAGGACCTCTGTATCAACTGAATTTCCCTTAATACATCCCAAAAGAGAAAACACACTTTTTTTGCCAGGTTAAGAGTAAAGAGAAGAAACTTTAAAACACTCACTCATGCATCTGAAGGATAATTAAGGTGAAGTAATGTTCTTATTTATCGTTGGGTATCCGTAGAGCACTTTTCAAACAGCAGTGGAGGAGCTCAGTGTGGTTATTGGTTATGGGACTGTCGCTTCTGTGTTCTGCCTTCAAAAGTGCCCCTGCTTCTGAAGAAAAGATACCCGATTGAACCAGGACTGTATTGCTACCCATGGTGGTCTTTTACAAGCAAAACCTTGTTTTGCCCAGGAGAACAGTTTATTTCTGAGCTCTTAGATAAAGACGTCTTCAGGGGTTGTTAAAGAAATAAACTAGGCTGGGTTGCTATAAACTTAACTGTTTTCTCTGGAGTAATGTAAAGGTAAAATGAAGGCAGTGAAGAGTAATCCTACTCTGGAGTATTTGAACAATTATCCTAGCATGTGTATATTGTTAGGAGCTATGTGGGTATGCTGTGTAACGGCTGGAGTCACTACCCAGCTGCGGTTGTGCTGGCAAAGGCAGAAATAGATGACGAGAAAGAGTTTCCTCTCCAGAGGTTTTGTTTATCTCAAAAGCGCCTCATTAACCAAGACTGCATGATCATAATATTATTTTAAGGGTGGAACTGACGTCTATTTTTAGTTCTACCCTTAGGAAAAAAACCCAAATATATATATATATATAATTATGGTATGCAAGGATGCGTTCCATGCTGTAAAATCATTGAACAACAACAGAGATTTTATTTTTTCAGTTCAGAACTTCTTGTCTTCCCAATCCCTGCTCCAACAAAAAAATGGAATCCCATCGTAAATCTCAACATGAATTTCCAAAGTGTCCTTTTCCTGTGCTGCAGCTGAGGTTCAAAAATCATGTTGAATCTTTTATGACTTTCTACGTTCTAAAGATATATTATTCTATAGATATAATGTGCTCTCTGGTGCAGCATTTATTCCATTATTCCAGGATCCTGCCTCCACCTGAAATGGAAGGTAGACGCATTTTCAGAAGCTGAAACTCAACTTCTGCACCACATAAACAAAATATTCCAGGGGAGGATTTATTTTCATTTGTTATTGATGCCATTTCCTTATGCACTCCTGGCTCTGATTCAATTTGCTAATCACAGGCTGTCAGAACATCAATAATTTGTGAGAAAAAAACAATGCGAACCAAGCTAGATCACTGCATGTATTTTTAAATGGTATTATTGCTGTAGCAGTTTTGTAGTTATGGTTGAAATGGCACATTCATTATAACCCCCTGTTTTGAGTTCTGCATAAAATCACTCTGGGGCTGAGATTTCTCTTGCCTAGCTAAAGCCTGGAAAAAAATGAATTCCCTGCAATTGAAAGTGACAAAAAAGCTGCTGTATCCCAAAGTGAGGAAAGTAAGACCAAAATTATGGACTTTTCTTGAACAAGGCAGCAAGAGCAACTTTATACCTCAACTTAACTTCAGGCAGGTCGTACATTAAGGTTAGAATGAAAGTGCTCATAGCAGCCCTGCGGAAAAGGACTTGGGGGTGCTGGTCGATGAGAAAATGAACATGAGCCGGCTTCAGTGTGCGCTTGCAGCCCAGAAAGCAACCGTATCCTGGGCTGCATCAAAAGGAGTGTGACCAGCAGGTCAAAGGAGGGGATCTTGGCCCTCTACTCTGCTCTCGTGAGACCTCACCTGGAGTATTGTGTACAGTTCTGGTGTCCTCAACATAAAAAGGACATGGATCTGTTGGAACAAGTCCAGAGGAGCCCACGAGGATGCTCAGGGGACTGGAGCACCTCCCATGTGAAGACAGGCTGAGAAAGTTGGGGCTGTTCAGCCTGGAGAAGAGAAGGCTGCATGGAGACCTCATAGCAGCTTCCAGTATCTGAAGGGGGCCTATAGGGATGCTGGGGATGGACTCTTCATTAGGGTCTGTAGTGATAGGACAAGGGGTAATGGGGTAAAACTTAAGGGAAAGTTTTGATTGGATCTAAGGAGGAAATTCTTTCCTGTGAGGGTGATGAGGCACTGGAATGGGTTGCCCAGGGAGGCTGTGAATGCTCCATCCCTGGCAGTGTTCAAGGCCAGGTTGGATGAGGCCTTGGGTAATATTGTTTAGAGCGAGGTGTCCCTGCCCATGGCAGGGGGTTGGAACTCGATGATCTTGAGGTCATTTCCAACCCTAACTATTCTATGATTCTTTTGGGTGTAAATCATGACCTAGGGTCTGTGCCAGGTGTACTAGAGTTTGTGCAAGAAGGTATTAAAGAACTGTCCGTGTTCCATGCTCTTTACTCCTGTTCTTTGAAACACTCACATTTTAAGTTACCAAGCTTTGAAAATCAGCAGGTACCAGACTAAACATAGGAAATAATTATGACCAGAAGCCAGCACTCTTATTTTCCACAGCCTATAAACAAAAACCTCTGAACAACCCCAGCCTCCAGATCTAACTTTCCAGGTCACATTTTAAAGTTAATCTTTTGACCCTGGGAGAGATTTTGTGGTACTTACCAGTCCAAGGACCTAAACCAATCTATACCATTAAGGGAGGCAGCATGAGGATTGGGATATTTCTGCTGAAATAAAATGCCATTGCCGTCAGCTTCTGGGATTGGGACAGGGCTGTACCCTGAGAGATGTTTTACATTACAAGATGCGTTTCTTCCTTCTCTTGAAAGCCAAATGTTTGGTGATGCACGTGATTGTGACATACATCTCTTGCTTTCTGGGCAAGGCTGAGAAAACCTAGCAAAGAACAGGAATTTATTGAAATAATTGAAGTTTCTTAAAGTTTAAAATTTCCTCAGGCTTTTTTTTTTTTTGGTAAAATAATCCCATAGCATCTTCCATGATGCCTGCCGTAGCAGGAAGGGCAGTTATCCAAGCATGCCTACACAGATGATGCCCAAGGTATGAGTCCTAGGAATGCCAGCAAGAGGTTTTGCGTTGCTTTCTATGGATTTGGGGGGAAAAAATCTTCCTTTCAGGAGGTGCACAGTGGTGTTTTGGGCTAAACATGTAAGAGAGGCAATGAGTAACTCAGAATACTCCGTGCCCCTGGAAATTTTTGTTACCTGAAAATTCACATGAACTTGAAAATATTTGACTGAAGTTTTTTGTATATCACAAGTATTTCCAGTTTTCCACTTGGCACTGTTACATTACTTTCTTTTGCACAAAAAACTTTGAGATATACAAAGGGAAAAAACAGTGGTAAGAGAACGTTTGGATTATTGAGCAAAAAACCAACAATAAGCCAGAAAAACTGTTCTTTCAGAGTTATTTAATTTGATAGATTTCTGACAAAGCTTTCTCTACAGCTGTAAATTAGGCTTTGTGCTCCATATTTAAGATGCATATCTTTTTTCTTTAGAATAGAAAATCACACGTGTTTTGTTATAAATAGGCTGTATAGTTGAGGGGAAGTTGAAAAGCGGTGCAGCAGTGCCATCCCCTCATAGCACATTGTGGTCTCCAGAGGAGATGACCCACTGATGTGAGAGTATAACGTAATACCTAGGCATAAAAGAAAGCAGAGTTAATCATCATGGCTTGACTTCGCGAATGATGATGATGATGATTATTATTATTATTATTTTGAAATTTACCAAATAAAGGGTTTATTTCCTAGTAATAAATACATAATAATGTGGCTGCCCCATCCCTGGCAGTGTTCAAGGCCAGGTTGGACACAGGGGCTTGAAGCAACCTGGTCCAGTGGAAGGTGTCCCTGCCTGTGGCAGGAAGTTGGAACTGGATGAGCTTTAAGGTCCCTTCCAACCCAAATCATTCCTTGATGTGAGTCTGTGAAAAATAGTGGTTTTGTGTGTATTTAAATAAACACAACATATGCTGCATGCAGTTATAGAAGGTGTAAGATGTATGTAACTTGGCAGGAGCGGGCTCAGCAGTTTTCAGTCGCTGTATTTAGTTGCAGGCTTTCCGTAAGTGCTGCTTGAGGCTCATCCCAAGATGAATGTGGCCACTTCTCTTCTGATCAAAGAACAGTGCTTTTCCCCAATTTCTACAAAAAATGAGCCACCCTGCTGAGCTCCAGACCCACTTCCTGGAGTAAACTGCTGTCCTTTGAAGGACACAACCAGAGGGGTTCCTTAGAAAGAGGAACTTTGCTAAAGGAGGAGAGATCACTGTTTTGGTCTTACGAAGGAGAAAAGCTTTCTTGTGTGACAATTTTGATCTTTCTTGGCTGCAGGAAACGTGCAACCCACAGTGCTGGTAAGAGGAAGGGCAGCCAGAAGGACCTGAGACCCCCAGATCTGTGGATACACCACGAGGAGATGGAAATGAAGAACATCGAGAAGCCAGCGGGCTCAGACCCTGCAGGAAGGGACTCACCAATGCAGAGCTGCCAGGACATCACCCCTGTCAGCCACAGCCAGTCGGAAACGCAACTGGGAAGCAAGAGCACCACGCAGCCTGGTGAGGAGCTCCAGAGGCAGGAAGGGCAGAAAGTGCCTGGGCATCACTTGTAGACTGGGTGAAATTAGGATCGTAGAATCACAAAACATTTGGGTTGGAAGGAATCTTTAAAGGTCATCTAGTCCCACCCCATCCTGTGTACCCCAATTTGGTTTATTCTTCATCACCAACATACCACTTTTCTTTCAATCGATATTGGTGGTCAGTGGCCTTAGACCAACATGTGGAGTTTCTAACAGAGGGATAAACTTGGCAAGAGGCTGGAAGAATTAACAGCTATGGGTGCCAGGAGAGACGTTCCTACGCGATTTTTGCTGTGGTTTCAGACTAGGGGGAATCCCACTGGTTTTTATTTTTACTCTACTAACTTCTTAAGTTCAGGAATTAAACTGAAATTCAAATTTTATTAAATTTGCATACCATGCTAAGAAAAACAGGGGGGGGGAAAGGGGACATAGAGAAATAAGTGGGAGAAGAGGGAGAACATGACTAACAAGAAGGTCAGGAGCTGAATTTGGGCAAGGGAGACTGAGAAAACTTACAGATATGAAGAAGGAAATCCTGTAAGAAAAATGTGGTTTCAGGGAAGTTTCCTCCTCCTTTTTTGAACCTTAGTGCACACAGCACATCACAGGTTTCACTTTAGCTGATAACATCTTTTCCATCATGATGATAGAAAATCTTGGGAGAGGCTGGTACGGAGAGGGATGGGGAGCAGAACACAGCACAGAAGTTGAAAACAGAAACATATCTGTCTTGAGTTCATCATCTGTGGAAGGCAGAGTGAAATAATTCCAGAATACTGTTTGGGGCTGTAAGTAATGAAGGTGCCTTTTCTCTGATGTTTTTATCTCTTTTCCATACCCCCTATTTTCACAAGGAAGGAAAAGTTGAAAAGAAACAGTTTTCAAATTTCTCAATGGATCTCATTTTCTGGCATCGTGTTTTGGGATGATGGTTCGCTATTTATGAAGATAATTGTGGCAATGATTTCCATTTTTTTTAATACAAAGGTCCTTCTTGTATTAAAGGAAAAGCATAACCAAAAGATTCCCTCTGCCTAAACAGATACTGCTGATGACAAGGAGAGCTTATCCAGGGCCCAGAAAGATCAATACGAGAGCTCCATCGATTGCAATACACTTGCAATCGAGTGCATAGCAGGAAGCCATCACAGCATATGAGCAAGTTAATGACAAAGGCTGGGCTAGATATTTTATGTGTAAATGCCTTGGACCATAAATAAATGCCTTTATGTTTCTTCCCAATTGAAATACTGGCTTTTCACTAGCAATTAGCTCTTTGAATGGCCATCAATAGAAGACTTGGCATTTTTGTCCTGCAATTCAGAGAAGAATGATTTGGGGGAAAAAAAAAAAAAAAACACAACAAAAACAAGTCGTCAGAAAAAAGAGGCAAATCATTTTTTTGTTTTTTTTTTTTTAAGGAATATGTTCTTGCTTGGGTACGTTAGAGCTGAATACTCTGTGTGACTATTAAGCGTAACTGCATGACATTATTAAACTAACCAGTTATCAGGTTCATATATGGTATGAACATGAACATTTATGTTGTTCATACATATGGAAGACAGAAATACAGCTTTTATTCTTGCAAATTACTCCACCTAACATCCAATTCCAAGCACACTTTCTTTCTGACAAGTGTATTCTCTACAATTTTTGAATGTTTAAAGTATCCTATACTGATGTGACTAAGTTAGAGCACCCTTATTTCAATACTTAAACACAATATCTAATTTATATAGGTACTGGAAGAGTTGATTTGGACACTAGGCAGCATAATTCAGTTCTCTGATCTAGATGTGCTCACTGTGATCCAGGACCAAATAAAGGGCAGATCCAGGCACATCATTCGTGTGCCCTGGTTTCTGTAAAAAAAATGAAATTCACAGTTTGGAAAAGACACCATGAGTTACTGAGCAGTCAGAACATGGGACTTCATGGCATCTCACAAGGAAGGTCGTTTACGTGCTTCAGATGTATTTGAAAGACCGGTTCTTTGCTGCATGGTTTTTTACATACCCCAATTTACACAGCCTTTTTTGGTCTTGATACTTGAATTTTTGAAGAAGTTTGTAACTGGGACGCTAAAAGAAAATGTCTTATTTTTAGCAAGAGAATGGGGTATTCAAGATAATTTTGGAGACAAAGAAAATAAGGGACATGGTATCTTTATTCTCTTACAGAAAAATATAAGCAATAATCCTATTCAAATAAGGCAGCCAGAATAGTCTATGCAGCTCTTTGCAGGTGGTGTCTAATGATCGGTTAAAATAACTGAATTCTAAAAAGAAGGAAAAGACAACAAAAAACCAACAGCCTATTTATCTTTCTGCTAGATACAGGGTGAAGAGAAACATTCATTTACAGCTTTGTTAGCTGAGCTATTGTGCTGTTTTCCTGTAGGTCCTGAGACAGAAGATGTCGGAAGCAGCATGTCCACGTTGGAGCGCTCGCTTGCTGCCCGCAGAGCCACCCGTGCCAAGCTCATGATCCCCATGGAGTCACAACCAAACAACCCTCGTGAGTTCCAGAACCTTCCCCCAGCCCCATTCTGCACCCCGCAAGCGGTGCTCACCCATCTGAAGACTCGTACAGTCTTTCAAATATGATCTAGTTATGCCTCATAAAGTTAAATAGCATTAGCAATGTTTTCATCATCCTAAGAAAAAATAAAAGTAGAGAAACATATAAAAGGCCTGGAAGCTTGCCAGAGCTTCACAACACGTCAGTGGAAAAACTATAAAGAGAATTCATTAATCATATTTCTGTTAGACTCAGCCTTGGCTAAGCCTAACCAGCCATTGTTCCTGTTTTACCAGGAGGATGGTGATGGATAAATCCCTTTGCATCCCTACTATAAAACTTTAAAAACAGGAGTAAAAGTTTAAAGCTGACAGAGCAGAAGGCTTTGCAATACACAGACGTGAATCGTGATATTATTGTTATTGCTATTACTATTATTATGTTAGTATTGTTATTCCTACTGTTATTACTATTTCCATTACTATCATTAATATCATCGTTATTATCAATAATTATAATCAATTGGACATTATTGCAATTTCTGCTACATTTTTGTTTGTTTCTAGTAGCTGCCCACACACTGTGTGCTTTTTTAATATGGAGCAGCTCTCTTGCAAAACCAAATGAATTAGGAAAAAAAGACTGTTTTGATAGGTGTTAAATTTTAGCGGCCACGGAGCGTTTATCATTGAACAAATTACATAAATTATGGGAATCTTTTTCAAAGCAGCAAAGTGGATGACAAAAACAAGAAGTCTGGAGAGCATTAGGCAGGTTCTCCCATCATGCAGACCTTACTTACTAAATATCTGATATGGCCTTGTTTCACATCTGAGCACAGAAATGATGTGAGACTCCACATACACTAGTATGCACTCATCAAGTTCCCCATGGAGTATGAGGCTTTGGGTTTCCACCTTTCCTCCGAGCAACCCTGTGATCAATGTCTCGGTAGCTCTCAGTTTTGAGCTGGAAGTTCTACCTTTGACCTCACAAAATAGATCTGATCAAAAATCCTCAGAAATTGGTACATTTGTGTGAACGGTCTGGGTTAAGAAAAATGAACATATACTGATAGAAATCCATTTCATCACAGCATTTCTCTCTAGCCCCGATGGTTAAATGTCAGTGCCTATTTGTAGGTTTGTGGAAGAGCACATCACAAATGATATATTGAAATAATAATAATAATAATAGAAGGAACTGAATGAAGGAGAGAGAATAACCTACCGTGGCTTTGTTCAGGAAGTTACTTACTAGGAGCTAGTTTGGTTCTCTTAATTTGTGCTTGCCACGGGTGCATTTCAGGTCATGCTGCTCAGCTTCAGTACCCAGGTGTCCAAGGAGAGAATGAATTCCAGTTCTTCACACCTTGGGCTGGACATATCGCTGCATTTCAGCCTCCACACTCCTCATAATGTGGAAGGCAGACCTGTGGGGTGAGGCAAAGAAACCTCTAACGCTCCCTGGCCATGTCCTGGGACATATTCCCACTAACTTCACAGTCAGACAATTTGCCCTTTTTTCAGTGGGGCTCCCCCTCAGTTGAAGGAGGGCAGCAGTCCAAGATAATGAATAGACTTGGAATGGTGTAAACAAAATCAGAAACAAATCAATCTTAATTACAAGGGGTCAACAGCAGTGTTGGTCAAGTCCAGTCAACAAAAAGCTGTTCCATGGCTTATAGCTAAAAATGCTCTTAAACATATTTAGTTCTTTCAATCAAATGATGCATTTTGAGGAAGGATCTTTTTATTTATATTTACAGCAATATCAATCTAACTTACAGTGACAGCGTATTACAATTGTTTGCAAATAATTAAACTCTGATTTATGAAAGTCTTATTTGTGCATTTGTGCAGGCTGGGTTATGCTGAATATGGTTGTTTTTTTTCCCAGAAGATAGAACTGAGGCTTTGTCAGATTAGATGCTTTAATTAATTTCTCTCTGTTTGCCTGATGCTGAAATTGTCAGCAGTGAGTGATTAAATAGATTAAAGAAGCAACAGTGTAATTCTGAAGTAAAAAATGCGTATTTTTAATTATTAAATACTAAATCTGGAAGTGCTCATGCTTGTTCCAATAATCAGTATTTGCAGTCTTTGAGAACAAATACACTCCATACTGTGCTTTTGCTTACTGAAGTGAAAGGAGCATAAACCAGATAAATTTGATGAGGTTTTAGTGATATCTTTGACAGCTCTAATGCAACTGAAATACAGGGAGTCACAAATACCAAGGCTGTTGTATGGAGAGGAAAAGACATCAGGAATGAGGAGCTCCTCAAGCTTCCCACTGCCAGCCCTTCCCTTCCCTACTGTTTAGCTGATCCCTGCCCAGCACCATGTCCTTCTGAGGGTCATTTCCCTTCTCTGGCATTTCAAAGCGAAGATTATACCTATATATGTATCTATATCTATATATATACGTATCTCTAATCCCAAAACAATCCTTGCACAGAGGGTGGCAAAAAAAGTGGTGACACCAAATTAATGATAAATTTTGGTACAAGAAAATAACAGAAAATGGGAAAAGTCCATTTCTACTGTTGATGGTGGGATTATGCAATACTGCAGGTGCAGAAGCAAGTGCTTTTTGGTATACTGCGGCAGTCAATGCATCGTAATAAACTATTCATAGAGACTGGTTGAATTTGATGATCTTAAATGTCTTTTCCAACCTAGCTTATTCTACGATTTAATGAAAATTAATTGAGAAAGTCTTTGCAGGTGTCACATTCAAGCACTGTGCCCTGTTTTCTGTCTGTAATCTTTACTTATGAAAGATGAAAATGAAATTCTCACAGAGCAAATCAATTTGGAAAGAGATTTCAGCTGTATTTTGAGGGGAGTTTTTTTCTGTTTATCCCCCTCCTTAAAATGACAGAAAATCACAACAATTCTTTTTCTCGAGGAAATATGAACATGTCGACTCAGTTGCTTTGGGAGCCTCTGGGGTGCTTGAATACAATCCGAACTGTCCTACTTTGTCATTCCTGTAAGCTGTTCTTGGGTGCTGCTTTCTTACAATGTACAGTACATTTTAAATGCAGACCAGTGTTTAGGGAGCTCCATGATTTGGTCAGGGAATTTCTGTTTTCAGTGTCTTAGTATATCAATATTAAGTGCAAATTCAATTGCTGACAGGCTATGACAGAACAGATTTGTTGTCATACCTGCTTGAATCGCAAAGATTTATTGAAAATGTTTGATGTTAGCTTTACTCTGGCTTCTCTGCAATAGAGTACTGCAATGAATAGTAATCCTGTCTTATTTTAAAAATGAAAGTGCTAGGTACCTACACACTAAAAACAAATGAAGGAATGGACTTGGAACAGCAAGCTGTTCTTTGATATGATTCAATAAAAAGTGATATTTGTCACTGCAGCAGCAATGCTATAAACATTGTCAATAAAAATGTCTTACACAGACAAAATGAAATGCCTGAATAGTAGAAATTCTCTTCTACAAGTGGATTGACTGAACCCAGACAGCTCAAATCACCCATGTTAGCGTTTGTTCATGAGTTTTCTTCATCACTTGCCCATTACTTCTCTTGCTGAAAGCCCAGCGCTTAAAAATACCCTTGGCACCACGTTGGCTTCCTGTGTGACCTTGAGCAGGTAGCCCAGTTTGCCACCCTCTGCAATGAATATAGTAGGAGCTAGAAGTAATTGTAATGACTATCTTAAAGTGTACAGCACTGTTTGTAATTCATGTGTGAAAGATGCTAGATAAGACAAACCTTATCACCAATGAGCCAGAAAACTCTGTGTATTGTTTAGCTGGAAAAAACTTCAATGGGAGTTTCAATAACTCCCAAAAGAGGCAAAGAAATTTATGATTCTCACAACATTATCAACACCCACTCTTCAAGCAGCGATGGTTGAAAATGGGGAGATGACTCACAGAAAAGCCTGGATTCATCAAACTGTGATCCCAGCTTTCAAATCAAAGTGTTTCATTGAAATTTAACACAACTCAACTTCAGTTTCAGACGTCTAGCTTGTACCTTTCATCCCTCTTCCTTATAGGCTTGGACATTCCTAAACGGGGGAATGATGCATGGGCAGCCTCAGGTGATGGGTAAACATGGGGATCTTGTGCCACTGGGGTCATCCTAAATCAGGGGCACTGGTTGTGAAGCTGTCAGATGTAACAGAAGAGTTGCAGGAGCCCGTGATCCTCAGAGCAGCAGGTGAAGGCAACAAGCTCTCCTAAGGCATCAGAAACGGCACAAGGGACCTGTGCTTAGACAGCTGAAACAGGCCCTTCAATTGCCTGGTCCATTCCTTCTCACTTACTTGTCGAGGGGTCTAAAGCACTCCCCAAAATGTGGCCGAATGGCTGGAACACAGAGAAAAAGCTATTTAATTTTACAGGTAACTAATTGCAGGCTGCACTTGCAGTTCTCCAATGTATACCAAATATTTCTGTATACAGAGGTAGCTTCTGCGGGCAGCGACTTGTTTTATACCAAGCATTTGGGTACTTTGTGGTTGTTTCTGGCTCCCTACTGACTCTCTAAGGATGATTTTGGTTTTGTTTTCTGAAAGCACTCATTTAACATAGCTCTCTGTCTTCCCTTTTAGCTGTGGTCAGCGCCATTCCGGTGCCAACACTAGAAAGTGCCCAGTACCCTGGAATCCTGCCATCACCAACCTGTGGATACCCGCACCCGCAATTCACCCTTCGTCCAGTGCCATTCCCAACCCTCTCCATGGACAGGACCTTTGGACCAGGAAGAAGTCAGTACAGTGCTTTTCTTCTTCTCTTTGCTATTAAAGTGCTCTGAAACAAGTTGCTTTCTATCATTGGAATGCACAAGCTCTAGCCACTGCAAATCATGCTGCTGTGCTTTTTGGGAGCCACAGTAAGTCCCAAAAGGCAGCCACAATAGATCTGTAAATCCCAAGTGGAGAAGAGGCAGCAACTGGTATTCAGTCTGTACTGAACACCTTAGAAGTTAAAAATCACTGCCTCTCTACTCCAAACTTGTCTTTCCTGCAGGTCTTTCAGTCATTTCACTGTGCTTCATTTTCCTTTGCTTTATTCATAAGGATGTTCCAGAAAAATGCAGGCTTCAAAGGCTCTTCTTCATTCCAACACAGAATCCAGTATCACCACTCATTAAAATCATCCATGATAGCGCTTACATGACCTTTCCACAGAGTGTCTTACCAGGCTTAGCTGCCCTCAGTGCTAGAAACTTTTTCTTTAATATCTAGCTAAAATGTAAGGCAGTTTCTTGATTTCTTGTTTTCTTGATTTCTTGTTTTCTTGATTTCTTGTTTTCTTGATTTCTTGATTTCTTGTTTTCTTGTTTCTTGATTCAGCTATAGAAGGCATTGAGAACAGTTTATTTCCTTCCTTTAGCAGATCTTTTATACATAAGGAAACTGTTGTCTTCGCATCTCTTCTCTAGACTGAGCTCTGTATTTGTGTTTACTCCTCTGGAGCTATAGATCCGTGGTTTGTGTGTTCCCATAACTATCCTCCACCTTACCATGATCAGGGTAGATCATACCTGGAGACCCACCTTCCCAGTTTACTGGTAATACCGTGCCACATTGACAGCCATCTGCTCGTTGTTCAAGCCTAAGGAGTGTACGCTGGCATATTACTTGTAGTTGGAGGGCTTGTGTTTTCTTACAGTGCTCCCTTAACTCTAGTGCATATCGAGCCTGAGTTACTGACAGGTTAATGTCAATCTGTTACACAGACCTTTTTCACATCACAGAGAATCTGTGCTGCTGGTCCATGGGGAACCCTTCCTGAAATGACTGATTTTTTTCCTGCTATGTGATTGTTGCTTTCTGTCAGTTCTGACAGGTCTTGGGGGATGGGTGATTGAAATCCAGTGGTAGGATTGTAGGTAAAAACTGGGTTTAGGTGTACTGTGCATAACTCTAATACCATTCCATAATGCCTAAATTCAATGATTGAGAAGAAGCTCTTCCCTGTGAGGGTGCTGAGGCGCTGGCACAGGGTGCCCAGAGAAGCTGTGGCTGCCCCATCCCTGGCAGTGCTCAAGGCCAGGTTGGACACAGGGGCTTGGAGCAAGCTGCTCCAGTGGAAGGGGTCCCTGCCCATGGTAGGAACTGGATGAGCTTTAAGGTCTCTTCATCCCAAACCATTCTATGAGTCTACAGTTGCTGCTTTTTTCAGTGTGGTTGTGGAGGTCTTGCCAAAGCTACATGGCAGTTTCTTTGCAGTGCCTCGCTGGCCTTGTCAGGTTTAGATCTGCTGCTTAAATTAAACCAAACCCACCATGAATGCCATGCACAAAGTAGATTCACTTTCTTGCTTGGCAAACATTAGATGTTGGGGAATAGAAATATAATTAACTACCCTGTGCCTGATGGATGGAGATGGAAAAAGCATAATTGAATTGTTCGCTCAGCTATCATCACCCTGACCTGCTCGTAAAAGGACCTGAGCTTCTCCTGTCCCCAGATCCAAAGTCCAGCTGCTGAAGTGAGGGAGGTTTCTATAGTTCTGCTGAAGTTTCAGGGATGGAGGCAGCTCTCCTTGTAGATACCGTATGGTATATGGTAGATACCATATGGTATATGGTATATACCATGGAGCAGTGGCTGGGACACAATCGCTTAGAAATGTGCTAGGCACAGCCCCCAAAACCACACATCCCTGGCACATCCAGCTTTCTGCCTGAACCAGCCACTAGATTTATGTGCGTAGGAGTCTGGAGGTGATATTTTGAAGAAGAGGAAATCCTCTTTGGGTCCAGTGGCACTTCCTGGGGGAAGGTCTGTATAGGAAAGTGTGGGTTTGTTCAAATCCTTCAAGCGCTGCACGCTTGAGAGTTTAACAGAAGATTGCTAATACACAAAAGGTTTCTGCAAGAAGCTTGAGTACAAAACAGCTTTAATTATTGAGAAGGCCTGATGGGCCTTGGAAAAGCTCAAGCAGTGAAGATTTCAGATAATTTGGGCAGTTTCCCGTGCAATAATTCAAAAGCAGTAGACAGCCTTGTTTATGTAATGGCTATTTCAGATCACTGAGGTCTGTGTAATCAAGGCTGCATGGTATTTATATATTATATAAGCCAGTTACTATGTGCAATGACAACCTGTTAGAGGTATTGCAGCTGCGCTCTCTGGTGAAGGCTATTGAGTTTCAAAGCTCACGGACCATACGAAATACCTCCAAATGAATATTCTCTTCCCTTGCTGTGCCTTACATTTTCACCCCTATGGCAATGAAGTGAAGGCACAGACAAGGACACGGAGATAGTGTTTGTTTTCTAGTGACACTTGACACTATCAGAACCATCCAAGCAGTTCCCTAGGTTTATATAATGTCAGTGTTCATTACCTTTCAGTCCAAGAAGGGATGAAGGGATATAAAAGTGTATTTCTAAAACGGTGCCTGAAGCTTTTCAGAGCACCGGTGCTGTTGCTGCTGAATGCCAGTCCATCTGGAAGAGCGGTCAACCTCCAGCGCATCCGACTCGAAAGCATCTGCTTTGTTTATGGCTTGCCTCCCACTGCCTCACCTCCCACCTCGCTGCAGCAGAAAATGAGGGTAGATCCACAAAATTCCTCTTAACTCTTTGAATTTGTTTGTTTTTGGCTGCTTTCTTAGTATGATCATGCTATTGAGAGCAACTAGCAGTTAAAGAGATTATAGGACCAATTCCTACAGCTTTTTCTGGGTGTTTTACCCCTCAGTGAGAAATTCACATGATACTTGAACAATTGCAGCTGTGTCTGAAGAAGAAATACATAGCAATAATTCCTCTGAGGCAGACCCTACCTGTGGTACTGCGTGACCGAGCACCCTATTGATCAAGATGCAGCAACCCTTGAATAAATCATACGCCATGCCATTAGTGAGGGTGATGCTTGGCATCCTGCCTCACAGGCAATGCTTGAACACCTTCTTCTGTTTCTGAAGGCTTTCTTCATTGACCCGAGGATTTGAGTGCTCAAACTTATCTTTAGGACAAATGTTCCACTGAAGAGGGAACTAAACAAACAAGGCAAGGAGAGTCAGGCCCCAGCTAGAGATTGAACAATAAGCTGTCTTTCCTGTTTGACTACTGCTGCTGACCCAACCAGACATAAAGTACAATGTTTTCCAGCCAGAAAACATCTCTGAGCCATAATAAAGTGACTTGTCCAGTCAGAAATCCTTCCCAGAGCTGCTCTTCTCTTTTCAGCCTTCTCCAGAGCCCAGCTGCACCCACTGTTCACAATGTTATCGTGGCAGGTAGGAGGAGATGGTGACATGCCTTGTTTGCCATGACTTAGAGAACAAAGAAGATGCTCTTTTTAACCCTGCCATGACTACTAGAGGTGCTGAGCCATCACGGTCTCCAGTAGGAAGAGAGCTGGAGGAAACCATCTCCCACTTGGGAGGTACTGAGGTGGCCCCATGCCTGTCCTGCCCCATCTCCACCCACACGCTGGTCAGCATAAGCAGGCTGTCTTCTGGTCCCATCCTGATAACACTTTTACAAAAGGCAGAGTACTTGTCTTGTGGGTAACCCTAAAGACCACAACTGGTCTAACAGCACCATCTTTAGAGGGAGCCATTCTAGAATCATAGAATCACCCAGGTTGGAAAAGACCTTGAAGATCATCAAGTCCAAGCTTTACCCCAGGACAGCCAAGTCCACCACTAAACCATGTCACCGAGGGCCTCATCCGTATGGTGTGTGGACACTTCCAGGGATGGTGATTCCACCACTGCCCTGGGCAGCCTGTTCCAGTGTCTGAGCACCCTTTGGGGAAGGAATCCTTCATCAGTGCATTGCCCTAATAACCCATGGGATGAAAACTTGGAGATGTCCAGAAAATATGGTGTGTTTTGGTGGTTTTTTTTTTTAATAAAGATATATTATTTACCAGTGTTAAAAAGAAAGGCTGAAAATCGTGTAACCCAGAACAATAAAATAACAATTACATTAATAGCTTGAGATAGCCATAGGAAAGGTTTATGGAACAGAGATAACTTTATGTATCATTAATCTGTTAAAGTGAGATGCAGTAAAGCAAACATTTTCTGAGCTCATTTCCTCCTGGAGCTGGCTTTCTGTCAGCTCTGCACTGAGCTTATCCAGTTGGGAACCTTAAATCCCTCCTACCATAGGAGCTGCATTATGGACTAAATGGAAATAGTATTTTTTATTCAACAGTCTGGTTTGGGTTGCAACGTCCCACAGAAGTGCAGTAAGAACTGTAATGGAGTTATGGGTCCTGCTTAGCCTCTCACTTCCTTTGTTTCCCTTTAGAAACTGAATCAACAACAGAGTAATTTGGGTTTTTTCAGTACATTATTTTGGATTTAACCACCTGTCATTTAAAGGTGGTTCTGCCATTTTGCCATATTCACCAATTTTTTACGTTTTCCCCAAAGGCATTCTTTGGGGTGTATCTGAAATTGCACAGTAATAGTAATCTGACCATCAGCATGCTAAAAAAAAACCATTCCTCCTTGAGCTACAATAACATCCAAAGATCCCATCAGGAATGAGGCCCTGGTTTGTCAGCGTTACACAGGTATATAGCCTTGGTCACATAATATTTACAACCTGTGTAACTTCAAAAACACACAGAAAGTCATTAGCAGATGCAGCATAAAATTCAGTCATTTTAAGTCCCATCTACCATCACATACTTTGAATTGTTGCTACCTTTTGTTTTCAATCCGTATTGATTTTTTCATTACCGCAGACTGCAAATAGATACAAACCCAAGTGTGAATATTTCCAATGCTACTTGTTAATATAGATACACAATGTAAAAATACGTCCAGAGGCTTAATTAAACTGTTTAAGAGCACTGTGCCAACTAACAATTATGCAAAAGCAAAAGGAAGATCAAAAGAGTTTGTATCAGATATCTATTCTTCTGCTTGGTGAGCAGTGTCCATGGCTACTGGAGTTCAAAGAAAGCTTGTTCTCAATGTTCCTTGCCTATAAAAAGAATGCAAGTAGGGCTTTATCCAAAGTTTCCCCGAAGGACTGAAGCCCTAATTGGTTTTACTGGGCTTTAGAACACATCTTCATGTATAGCACAGTGCTTTCTTTACTTGGCCAAAATATGTTACTAAATTCAAGAGCAGAAGATCACAATTGGAATGCAGCATGGTATTATCTGCTCCATCTTAAAGGCCAATTGGGAGTCTACTTTCTGTAAAAGCAAACAAACAAAAAAAAGTAATAATTGGATCAGTAAAAATAATCAGAATTCCTGGGCAGTTCTGTTGAGGTGTACAAAGGCAAATATCCGGCTGCTAGGCAGGGAATTGAGGTAGGGAATGCAGGCAGCAGCAGCAATGTGCTCATCTTCATCCATCCTTCAAATAAACAATCTATCCTCTCTTCCTGCAGGGACTTGAGTGAATTGTAAATTGATGGTTCTCATTATGCCTGCAATCTGTAAGCATGCACATCTTGCTTTGGAAAAATGTCTTCTCACGCATGAAGCACACCTTCATTAGACCACTTACCTTCAATATTTAAATCCCAGCACCAGCTTCTAATTTTAATAGAGTCATCACACCTTTCTCTTCAGTCATAGCTGGAGGATAACCTGAAATCTTTTGTATAATAACGGTTATGTGGGTCTCTGGCTTTTACAACTAAATCTTTAAGATAAAACGTATGCATACTGTAATACAGTAATTTAATAGCCTTTTAATTCAGGGACCATTACGCTGATGCTAGCTGGTAAAGCTGATAAAGCTTTGTTATCTGAGAGTACCACTGTGGAAAAAAACAAGAAGGTATTCGATAGTGAGTAGCAGTAAGTGTCTGGTATACTTCTTCTCCAAACAGGTCAAGAGCCTTCCAAAAGAAATGTCCTTAAGGACACAATGAAAAATGCTGGGCTCCATAGGAAGTTCAGACTTCGACAAACATGTCGGAAGACATTTTGAGGCTAAAAGCATAGAAAAAAAAGGGTTTATTTTTACTTTAAGCAAAGACCTTGCTGAGGTTTTACTCCATAAAACACTGTAACCTCAGACGTTTGCTTCTTTGAGACTCACATACTATTTTGCATCTTGCCTAAGATAGAGTGAAGGGAGAGAAGAACCCAATGCCCATGGTAGCCTAGAGCAGCAACACTGTGGCACCTTCTTGAAGGTGTGAGCAGTAAATAAGGGTAGAATGAGCCCAACTATTATGCCTGCTTTATTCTGTTACAAACCACCTGAGTACCACTGGCTTCCTTAAGAAGAACTGTAGTCCTCAGAGAAAAGAGAGGTCTGCTGGGCAAGGAAGGAAATGGAAAACCAGGGCAATGGTATGGTAATGCAAAGAGCTTTCAAGCTAAAGCAAGGAAAATGAGACATAGAAAAGCAAACTTTAACAAACTGTAGATGATTTTGACTTTGGTCTGATCCTGTAATTGGCTTTTCTGGCCATGGTGTTTGATTTGGCCAGGCATCTCTGTGATATTGCCGCGGGAACAAGAAATGGGGCTGTGGAAATGAGGCAAAATCCTCATTTCCATTTTTCAAAATTGTTTTGCCTGTTAGTAGGTTGTAATTACTTCTATACTTTGACATTAATTATTATAAAATGCCTTGAGATTTGACTTGGCTGTGTAATTGCATGTTATTTACACAATGAGTTCTGGTTGTTGCAGAAGGCTCTGAAAGAAACCAGGTCCTCTGGAGCATTTTGGGTCCCACTATAATAACTAATTCTGATAGCTATGTATCATGAAGGTTGTTTTCCTCAATGAGAGGTTGAGCTTTTTCTAGATATTCTGTTTCGTGCCACAAGCTTCATGATTAACTGTGGTGCTGTGAGGCATTCTGGCTGGCGTAAATACTGTGGAGGCATTACACATCACCGACATGCTCAAATTAAACAGGTTCCTGTTGCGATCAGTCTCTTCAGTAACCAGCTTCATTCTTTCCCCTGTTCTGCTTGCAAATAATGTCAGGCCTTTCAGGAACTCTCACCAAGAGAAGAACTTACATCGGACAGGGCTTGGAGCAAGCTGCTCTAGTGGAAGGTGTCCTTGCCCATGGCAGGGGGCTGGAATTGAATGACATTTAATCTCCTTCCAAAGCAAACCATTCTATGATTCTGTGAACTTTCCCCAGTGATGCTACTTAGGAGGACCTGGTAAAAGGGCCAAGAAAGACCTGAAGGCCAGGGAAGCCTCAACAGCACTCGTGATGCAGTGGATGTGGAAAAGAATCGTAGAATCACAGAATCACAGAACCATAGGATGGTTCTTGTTGGAAAGAAGGCAAGAGGTGGTGTTTCCAAATCTATTTGCCTTGTCTTCTCGTGCAATAGGAACAAAACAGAAGTGGCAAGCCCTTTTCTGTGTCATGGGGAATCATAGAATCATGGAATCATAGAATCCCAGGTTGGAAGGTACCTCTAGGATCATGTGGTCCAACATTTCTAGGCAAAGCATGACCTAGACTTGATGTCCCAGCACCCTGTCCAGAGGAATCTTGACAGTGTCCAGTGCTGGGGAGTCACCACTTCCCTGAGGAGATTATTCCAATGACTGATTGTTCTCTTTGAACTTCTTGCTGCCATCCATAAAGCACCACAGCAGACTTGTGAGCTGTTCTCCCAGTAGCTCTTAACTAGTTCCAATTGTCATGGTAGGTGTAGTGGTCAGCAAGAGATTTTAATGATTTGTTTGTTCCAATTGCAGTTCTCTTACAAGAACAAAATAATCTGTTCCTTTGGAATTATTTTTTCCATCTTCATTATCTTAAACTTCCTAAAGTCTAAATAACTTGGCACAGGTTTGTTTCCTGGTATGAACAACAGCAGTGAATTTCTCTTCATGAGGAAGAGTCAATGCTGGGTGAAAAACAGTGCCATAAATCTGGGCAATGCCATCAGGGTGTGTGAGTGCTCATCCTGCTCCTTGTTGTCATCTTACATCCCTTTGGAAGGTTCATCTTCACTGTACATGCTCCGTAAGATAACGCTCTGATTTTAGACTGCAAGATTAGAGGATTTTGCAAGTAATAGATTTCAAGATAACTCTGTTAACAAATCACCTTTCTTTGCATTTATGGTGCTGGGGATGTTAGACAGCACTGTGGACCATACGCATCCTGTAATTTATAGTTTGGGCACAACGTGAGTCTCTTGAGGGCTGCAGAAATAAAGTGCTTTTCTGTTTCTCTCAACTTTTGTTTTCTTTTGTTTTCCTTTTTTTTCTTCTGTTTTGTGGCATGGAAAGTCCATGACAGAGGCTGACACTGAAAGTTTCTTTTAAGAAACTCTGCAGAACATAAGGAAGCTGTCTTTTACATTAGAAGGTTGACATGAGACATTTAAATCTCTGAAAAATTGACTGTGAATATAGGCTAATAAAACAGCAACCTACTGCTTTGGCACATTAAATGTTACAGCTGTCTCAAGGAAAAACAATATTCGTGATTGGTTATGTAGAAATTAATTAAGTCCTTTCTTTGTCTCAAGCTTTTCTTCTCTATGACTGGAACAGTACCGTGATGCTGAACATTATGAGTTTCCATACTCATAGCTTGTTTCGGTCTCCACATGTATTTATGTGTTTATTGATTTTTAATATTTAAAAGCACATAGAGGTGAAAGATAGAGAGAAGAGGATAAAAATATGCTTGGGGTTTTTATGTTTTGGGGTTTTTAAAAGATGTTTTGAGCCTCAGATGGCACACGGCCACTCTGAGGAACATCTGGTTTTAATTTGTCTGCCAATAACTTTTGATGGAACTGTTTACACGTTTCCTGCACCTTCTTGGAGGATGGAGGCTAATGCTGTCCCTTCTGTTGGAAATGACCATAAAAGTGGGAAATGGGACATAAAATATGCATCAATAACGGTCCTTTGGGGGTTTCCTGACTGTTCTCTTGCAGCTGTTAGCGAAGGACCAGCACCACAGCAGCCGCCCTTGCTGCCACAGACACAGCCTGAGCACTCCAGCAATGAGGATGCCCCGAGCAGAACCATCCCCACCGCTTGCGTGCGCCCTACCCACCCTCTCCGCAGCTTCGCCAACCCCTTGCTACCTCCACCCATGAGTGCAATAGAGCCGAAAGTCCCTTACACACCACTTCTGTCTCAAACAGGTAAGAGTGATTGGGGGGAAAGCCTCCAGTACCACTGGCCTGAACCACTGACTTTGAATTTGTGAGAAAACAGAGAGCACAAGACAGCCCCATACCTTGAGAAATATCTGTAAGTGCCGACAGAGTTGAAACTAGACGACCTTTAAGGTTCCATCCAACCCAAACCATTCTATGATTCTATGTACAGTTACATGGAATCATCACAGAATTACATGCTAGTAAGCAGGTACTTTATTCTGACAATCCGGAATAAAAATTCACTGCAAGGCATTAGCTTAAAATCAGAGTTAACAAGTAAGTGATAAAAATGAATTAAATGAGATGCCAAATTAATCACTTGGTCTTGTTTCCAGTCTCCTGTTACGCTGCAGTAACTTGAAACAGTGCCAAATGCTTGACTCTTGTTTCAAGGCTTGCCTTTTGGATAATGAAAGAACTATTTATGTATGCTGGAAAAGAACTGACTGCAACCCACTCCAGTGTGCAAACTACTCAAAAATCAAATACCAAGCGTGCAAGGAACAGGAAGAAAATTACTGTATGTTTCTTAAAAAGGCTTTAGAATAGTGACACCGTTGAATGAGGCTGTGGGCTGGTGGTAGGGTTAGATTAAAGAGCTGTAGTGAAGCATTTATTCACGGGTAGGGTCATGGCAAGGCAAGAGGGAATGGTGCTTTTCCAGCTCATTTCTGGGTTTGTTTCCAGAGCAGCACCATTTCTAGAGATCTGTTTTTAAAATTCACTCTTGGATCCAGTGAGTGCATCTGCGTGATGTGTCTGGTATCTGCTTTGTCCATCAACTAGGTGCAGTGCTAGGATTGTTCTTCGTGCGAACTGGTATGAGTAGCGCTACCTGCCTTAGTATCCCTAACTACTCGAGTTATTAAGAAGGGGAAAAAAAGGGCCTGCATGCTGTTCTCTCATTTTAACTTCTGCTCTTTTAGCTTTGATAATCTCCAGTTTAGCCCAGAGAACCTTTGAAATTTCATTTTCACTCTTTTCTATTCTAATAGTGCATTCTGAGCACAGCTTTCTCGCCATACAACATATGCTAGGTCGATGTTTGCAACAAGCAAGCTACCAGAACATCTCTGCATTTTTACTGGAAGCACCTGCTATCCCTCAGCAAGTAATCCAGTTTCTGACAGCAGACAGAAGTAGATAAATCCTTATTTACTGGAGAACTGCTTTTGCCAAATAATGTTGCTGAGTTATTTTTTATATATAGCAGAGCCTATTCATCTCTATGTAGTACTACATTTTACTTTATGGGGATCCAGTTCTACTTGCCTTACTCTAGTTAAGCCTGATTACTTCAAAATGACTGTTTGTTCTCCAAGTCAACCAGAGTTTACATTTTAACCATTATAACCGGGAGGTGTGCTAAAGAGAGAGGAAGTCACGGAGTGTTACTTATCTTCATAAAGAATCCCATCATCCTGAAAAATAAAATTGCCTTTTTTTGAGCAAGTAATCTCAAGTAAGCAGCTGCAGTGTTTCCTACAGCAGTGTGTAGAACTTTGTTATTAGGTAAAATTGAGAACTGAAAGTTTATGGCATGATCTGCCACAAAGCAATGGAAATAAATAAAGTGAATGGTAAAGCAATGAAAAAATCTGTTTTTCTGAACTCTGTCACGAAGGCAAAAACATGTTGCTGGGTTTTATATGGCTTTCAAACTATTGTATTTATTATTACACTGAAACCACAATTTTTACTTTTCAGAATTGCTTATAGCTTCATTTCTGATCTGCTTCTGGCTATTTTGTGGTGTTGGGGGCTATTTACTTCTCTCTGTGTCTGGTTTCTGTTGCTTGTCTCGATGCACTTGTCCCCAGAGTCATTACCCAGACTGATGTCTCCTTTTACCAAGTTCTTGTAGAATGTTTTCCTTCACAAATGTTAACTTCTCTCCGTTGCTCTGGGCAGTGAGTGGGGTGTGCAGAACTGATCCCGGTCCTGCAAATGGTCCCTCAAAACTAGGTTGCTCTTCTAGCACCCTCTCCTGAATCCCACTCCTCTGGAATCCAGATCTCTCTTCTTCTCACTGAAAATGGGCGTGGAGACAAAGGCATTGACAAAGAAATGTCAAGAAAGAGCATTTCATTTCACCAGCAATTCTGAGTATTCTACATGACCCATGGGTATGGTGTCTCAACCATAGTTAGGTAACCATGAAAGGGCAATTTTGAAGACATTTGGGTGCCACATCCCTTGCAGTGTTCAAGGCCAGGATGGACAGGGATTGAAGAAACCTACTCCAGTGGAGGGTGTCCCTCTCAATGTCAGGAGGTTGGAACTGGATGGTCTTTAAGGTCCCTTCCAACACAAACTATTTGATGACTCCACAAAGTCTCTGATGTATTTCTCTATTTGAACAAACCTCCTAGAAGGATGGCTGACACATACATCCCTGCACAATTCCTCCCTGTTCCCCTCTGTTCCCCTCTGGCAGAGCAAGGGTGGTCCAGCTACCTGCAGCCCAAATGAGACAATTCCCTCATGGATCACCTTTGCTAATTATACCTTACTTAGGGGCATCTCAGGTTTAAAAAGCTCTTAGCAAATTCCCACGTTGGAATAACTGCTACTTGCCTCAACCTGAGAGACAGAATTAATTAATTTGTCATCATATTTTTCTTGAACTCCAGTCATTATTACATGTCCTATGTAATAAAGTAATAGGGCAATAAGTAATGGACTCATTATCACTTAAGCCAATTAAACTACTCTACCTTGCTATCCTACTTTTTAAACTCATGCTATTCAGGTGTCTTACCTCTTCAGACAACGTATAACTAATGGAACAGTACTGCAGAATTTAGAAGGGCGGGAAGCAGCAGAGAACCATAGAGATTGATACAGAGATTTCCAGCAAAGACTTTAAAAAGCAGAAACCTGAAATTCAGTGGAGATTTCCCTTGAAATCCCTCCACTGCTGGTTTGCAGGCTCTTCTTCCTCCACTCCTATGCATTTTATATCTCCTTTTAAAGAATAGCCTGTATGGAGATGCCAGGCAGCATCCTCTGGTCCTCAGCCAACCCCGTTGCCTACCCCATTGCCTGCCCCACAGCCAACCACATGCAGAAGTTCCAGAGCTATTTGTGTATTTAGATTATAGTTCTGGAGCTAATATCTAACACTGTCCCTCCTGCAATATTAGTACTTGGATCTTGCCCAGTGAATAGATGAGCACAGGGCTTTTTCTTGCCTCTTTGATTGACCTGATGGTAAAAGGAAGTATCTCCTCTAATATTTTATCTATTCACTATGTCTCTGTAGTGGCATTGTAATTAGCTGTTAAACTCTATCATATGCTTCATAAAGAAGACACACAGAGATCATTATTCAGTTGTGGGAGATACTGCCATGAGGATATGAATAAATATTTAAAAGGCTGTTCTCCTGGTTTGGGGTCATGACATCAGGCTAATCCAGAGCTAAATCTGACATTTTTCTTCTTTCTTTTCTTTTCCTGTTTTTTTTTTCTTCCTTGAGCCAAATAAATCTAGGTTTTTCACATTAAGCTCTTCCCATTCATATTTTTTAGGAGATCTCACTTTTTCATCACTGATTTGTGATCGAGCACTTGAGGTTCCTAATACTTATTCTGTAGGTGTCAGAATCCAATCCCCACTGTGGCTGTACTTGCTCCCCTTTGCAAATCATACACATAGGCATATAAGTGATTTGACTTAGCCCCCTTTCAGGCTAAATAGGAAATGTTTGATGGAGTGTTGAGCTTACTGCGTTATAGATCTGACATAAATTCCACAAATGGACAGGAAAGACATTTTTTTCCCCCTCACAAATGAAAATTCCTTTTAGGTCTTAATGATCAGCTGCACTTTAAATGAACCTGAATTAGGAGGTCATTTTTCTTCTGCAGAAGCAAGTGCGCAGTGATAGAAAACGCTGCCTGTGAAGTGGTGGAGTTTATATCATGTCACAGTCCTGGAACTTCAGCCTTTTCAGGCTCTTTTGTGAAGCTGTAAAAAATGCTGCATGTTTTGGTTCTTCCCCAAAACAGTGTAGCTAGAAATCCAAATTGTCTAGGTCTAGCTCTTCCTAGAATCACTGAGTGATAGCCCAGAGCTAAAACCACTTGATTTTACAGCAAAACTGAACTTGGTTTTCCTTCCCACTGCTGAGCGGTAAGGTATGTCCCAAACTAGCTCTGGGCAGGGATTGCAGGGGAATGGTTGCACTGCAAGTGAAGTGCTCAAGATTTATTTCCTTGCTGCTTTGGGGGGAAAAAAAAGAAAAAAGAAATATAAAAAATCCTGTCTTTTCAATGTTGGGTGTTTTGGGGAATAAAAAAAAAAAGTGAGATGAAGAAATCTGTCGGTAAACATCCCTGTGTAAATAGCAGTAGCTGAGTATTACCTGAACATTAGCACAAACCCTTCCTTACCCAGGCTGGCACACACACTGTTTTCATAACCAAATGGGATAAGAAAGCCGGGTAAGAAAATGAACTCCTTGAGGTGTTTCTATTATTACTATTATTATTTCTAAATCATTTGTAAGAAAAGAATCAGATAAACAAGATAAGGCTGAAGGTCTGCCAAGCCTATGTTAAAGCCACAAGCTAACAGTCAAATAAATAAAAGATGAAATGAAGAGGAAAAAAGGGAATATGGGTATTAAGCAGTGACTCCTGAGCCATAATAATCTCAAATAGCAAGGGTTTGGAGCCTCAGCAGTTGCTGAAATTACAGTGATCTTTAGAACAGTGAATACAGAGGAAATAAAGGACTAACTTTCACTCATGCTGACAATAGACGGCTCCTCACAGGAGCGCTGGTAGAATCACTCTTACACAAGTGCCTTCATTATCAGATCTCAGGTGGAGTGTTTAGAGAGAGAAATTCCAAGAATTAAACTTTTGGCTGCAAATTAGGCAAATTTTGGAGACATAAACTCAGAATCCTCTGGTGTAAGACTTGTGCACTTAATGGCTATCTGGTTTTTAGAGTGCTTAATCCCCTCTCGTGCA